GTCTTAAGGCGAACGGGGTGCAAGCCATCGGGACCAGGCAATAAATGGATCTTCTGTTCAAGAAGGAGCTTCAATACCATTTCGGAACTTGTTTCTACGAACACTGAAGAATCGGTAACTGTACAATAATGTTGGTTTTACTGGCAGCACACTGGATCTGCTTACTTTGGTTTGCCCAGTTGTTTTTCTGTCGCAGATTCAGTGTCCATTCCGCACATGCCACTACGGTCTCATTTTCGTGCCTAGCTGCGAATCCCACATAGTCTAACGCATTGTTATGCTTGAGCTGCATTCAGTGACACGAAGCCATGCGATGACAGCCAACTAGGTAGAAATACAACGGAGCTCTACTCAGGGAAGTGTGCGCGACGACGGGCCGACCAAGTCAGATTAAGCCACGAGGCTGGGATCCTAAATTGCGTCAGTTGACTAGCCAGACGGAACATGGATACCGTTTAAGTCTTCAATTGAACCTCTAATTGGATACTTAATATTGCGCGTGCGATTTCCAATTACTTGACGAATCTAACCGTTAGTGCGCCTGCAATCCCAACACATGCATGTTCGTATTATGCTTGTCCGCTGGGTTCAAACACAAATGCGAAGAAATGCATGTGTGGATACATGATTATGCAGGATTTGTACTGCCATTGTGCAGTTGCCCAGACTGAGACTGACGATGCATATGATGTGCTTTGTTGTCTCATTCGGGCTAAACTCGACTGATTCTATGTCGGACTTGCGATTGACACATGAAATCTACCATGTGACATGCACTGCTTGGCTGCGCTTGATGTTAATTTTGACAAGGTGCATACCTGTCGAAAAACCGCCACCTCGATTATACTGGTTCCAGGAGACAGCTGGTCGTTGCTAGAGGCGACGGGGTACACGATCTTCGTGATGGTACTAGACTCAAAGGGTGGTACCAACCAGTGTGGAACGACCTACGGCCCAGCCACTGCCTTGCATACGTCTGCTACTCATGACTTCCCACGCACAGCACCGACCGCTCTTATATGAAGGTACACTTTCCTTTTGCAAAGTACTGAAGCAGAATCAGGCCGCTAAGCAACTAGCTTTCATCCTCACCAACCATTCACTCGAATTTGCTAATAGATGCGCTTATGTAGGCATTTGAATAACCTTCATCGGAAAAGTCGCAAGACAGTTGTTGCACGGCTAAGCGAAGCTCATGCTACTTTCCAAGGCACTGACTGAAGACCGGAGACCAGGACGCTAGCTGCTGCTTGTTGTAGGCATTAAGGAACATGCCCTCCTCGACCGTTAATGCATGACTGGTATTGCCTGTGTCTTATGAAATCAATTAACGAGGACTGATGATGTCCGTTGGTTGGCTATTAGATATAAGCCCTGTGGCTCCTCCGTGGGCTTCTTTTGTAACGTTAGGTAAGGTACTTTGCATGCATGCCAGCAATCTACCTTGGTGTTAGTTGCTTTAGAACATAGTGACTAGTTGATATAGCGATGACATGTGAAACTTGATCGTTAAGCTCGGTTACGTTGATACATACAGTGTTCTTGTCTAAGCGCCTCCAAGTCCTTTATTTCGATGAACACAAGTCCTGACCCCGTTGAGCAGTTAGTGGGGTTCGTTCGTTTGAAGCTAATTACCAACTTCCTCATTCTGCAACTACGACCATCCCCTTAAGTATTAGCCCGTACGTTTGGTTGCGTTTTCGTTCCAATTGTTATCTCACATATACTTTATTTGTTTTCATAACTGGGAGCGTCATGCGTTTATAATTTAACGGAGAGAATCCATAAATATCCGTCATAGCAAGTGTCTATGAGTATGGTTTTAGCGCGGTTGGTAGTGCTCAGTGCACTAAATTAATAGATTGGCTACCAGCCTGTTCTACGATAAAAGAATGGGTGTGCAAACGACATCACTTTCTTCGCATCTATGTGGCTAAACGCAGCCTTTAACCGGCCAAATTAACAACAACGAAATAAATCGATGTAAAAACGGGACAGCTATGTCGGTGTCCACCTTGGTACACACTTTCTCTTCAGTTCCAGCAACCTCAGAAATTTCTTATTAATCTCCGATTTTGTCAATAGTATTGTTAGCTAGTGGTTCAACACTATCGAACTAGTAAATACGAGTCCAAAATGGGGCGCGTAATCGAATGCGGTTACCAGAAGGCAGGAAGGTCGGACACACTAGACTGTATTCGTAATAGGCTACAAGCGGATAGTGACAAATGAAGCGAGCGGGTGCGAATGTCGGCATCGTAACTCGCGCGATGGAAACGTGGTGAGTCGGATGAATGTAAAAATGGCTATGGTCGAAGGTATTAAAACAAGGACGAATAGTATATAATTGATCAGTAATAATAGTCGCAATTTTTAAGGTGTGCATACAATAAAGGATTATATTTTGAAGCGCTGCAAATCTTTTAGAATCCTCTGTTGGTCATAGGAGTGATCCGAGCAATAGGTTCTGAGAATTGTTGGGCGGAACCTGGGATACTAGTCGGTAAGCAATGACACGTAATACGTGTCAAATACCACAGTATAGAAGTCGGAGGAGACTGAACCCAACGTGTATTGTGCAGGCTACAAGAATGGGAAGCGAATCAGACAGAGCGAGAAACGTGCAGCGAGGAACTCACCAAAACGGTTTGTGACCATGGATGTGCAGTCAGTTAAACAAATGGACGTTTCGAAGGTTAAAACAACCATAAAATCCAATGTTATAAGATACTGAAAGAGCACGTTTTCAGTTGCACTACAGAATACGTATTGGACCTGTGCGTTTGGATTATACATAACAGAACGGGGTAGCAGAGCTAAACTTAACGTTTAAGTAACATTCAACCACAGAAAACGGAGCAGCTAATCAAAAGCGCAGATAAGTGGAACGCGCTACTTAAGCGATCGTGCATGTTCGTAAATTGCATGTGGCTACACATACGGACAGTTGTAGCCTAGAAAAGCAAGCGAAATCCGGTGTTGTAATATACTGGACGTGTTTTTGTTTTATCGCGTAGTCATTTTTAGGCTTCTAACGTTCGTCCCTTTCCTCCCCGTCTCATTAACACTGTCGAACGACCGCAGTAGTATGCTGCTATACAAGCAGGAGACTGGTAGGCACCTACCCTAGTGAGGACGGTCCATGTGCGCAACTGTGGTGCTCAATCCAACTGACGTGTGGCGTACTGTTCGTGGGTGTGGCTTATCGCAGTCCGCGAAGTCGCTATTTGGATTGGTTGCCGCATGGGCGAAACCACATGGGTCGTCACCCGCTACCTGCTCATGGGCGACTTTAACCTTCCTCGAATATGTTGCTTCGACGTTCAACTTCTTCCATCGTTGCGAATTCGAGGCAGAGTTCGCTGAGATATTCGAAACTGGAGCAGTACAACACATTTGCCAGCCGACGTGCATTACACCGCACTCAAATCCGTCTTGCCTGCACCTGATGTTGACTAGCTACGAACAGCGTGTGCATGATCTCTTGGCCCTAGGGCCTATGCGAGTGATCACTCGATGATCATGACCAGCCTTGAGCTTTCGCTGCCATACTCGCATCCGCTGGATCCATCCTACAACTACTGGGAGACTGACTTCGATGGTCACACTCTAGTCACTAGTCAAGTAGACTGTTCGGTACCGCAGGATTCATCTGTTGAAACCTGTTGGTCTGTTATAAAAGTGGGTGTTAGATCGATGTGCGCTAGATTTGCTCGCCTCAAGTATCAGAAAGCGGGACCAGTGAAGCCACATTGGTTCAACAAATAGTTTGGCCACTTAAAAAGTTCGCCAGCTGTACGCCGTAACGACGCTTCGCTGCCACGCGACCACCACCAGTCGCGCGTGGGCTAAGTATACCGCGAGGACGCCCGCCCCTAAGCGGATTCGAACCGGTGACCCTATGGTTGAAAATCAGACACGCTTACCACCCGGCCATCGGCCTACGTATGGCCACTTGGCTCGATGGCGACGCGTATTGTGGACTAAATTCCTCCAGTCTGGCTGTGATGACGATTACGGGCTGTACAGAAGGCCACGAAATCTATGCAGTACTGTCGACAATTCGAAGGAGAGTTTGCAACCGCAGCGAAAATGGCCCCCAAGCGAATTTTCGCTTACATGATGCGGCGCCTGAGACAGTAAGGCGACATGGCAGTGCTAGAGGGCCCTGACGGAAGCCTCTGATTTCTAGCGCAGAAGGTGCGTCCGCGTTGGCGATGCACTACGCTTCTGTATTTGCAAGTGGGCATGCGTCTATACCACACACCACATATGCAGCCCCTACGGAACTCTAGAGCCTGGATTGCGATGTGAAAGATGTCAGTCTTGACAGCACGAAGCCTGGTAGTCCAGGTGGGCTCCATTCGCTGTTTCTCAAACCACTGTCGACCATCATCTCGCCCCCAACAGATAGCTGTCCGAAGGTGCATTGCCGAGTGATTGCAAATATTCGATAGTGAAGCCGATTCCAAAATTCAGTGACCCAGTCAAGGTGGACTATTACTAGCCGATTTATCTGACCTCCGATTTGGCCAAAGTACTCGAGAAGATCTTAAAAAGAGATCTACTTCAGCTGCTGGAGTCGAAAGACCTGACCACCGCACAGTACGGCTTCATGAATGGCCGCTCCTGGATCACCGACCTGCTGTTAACTCGGCATGAGTGCTTGCAAGTGTTGAACCGGGGGAAGTCGGTGGATCTGATCTACATAGATTCCGTTAAAACGTTTGACAAAGTGAACCATGAGATTCTCAACAAAATGAAGATGCGCATTGTTGGTGGCTCACTGCACAAGTGGACCAGTGACTTCCTCATTGGACGGACATGTAAGATACAGGTGGATGACGGTATAACGGACTGGTGTCCCTCCACCAGTGGTATACCCCAAGGTATAGTACTGTGGTCCATTTTATTCCTGATCCACATCAACGGTGTGCCTCAGTTTGTTCGGTTGCCTTGTGCCATGTTCGCAAACGACCTGAAGATTTGGAGAATTATTGATGCTACCGACGACTGACCTACTTCAGCATAACCTCTACCTCCTGTCCAGGTGGTCTGCAAATAACCGTCTGACGGTCAACCGGGTCAAATCGTTGTATCTGAGGTTGGGGAAGGGTGTTGATGGGCGTACATACACACTAGCCGGTAAACCGCTGCATCCCACACCTACGAAGAATCTCGGCGTAATCTCACACTGCGATTTGAAGTCCGTAAACAACATGAGCAAGCTATATGGAAACGGACTGCGCATGCTTTGGGCGCTCAAACGTAGCTTCTGTATTTGGCCTGAAGAGATTGCCACTCGCCTCTGCCATCATAAGCCAGGTGGTCGAGTACAGATCACCCGTCTATTGTCCGATCACATGTGGCGAGGTGCAATGACTGGAACGTGTTCAGCATGTGGCCACCAGGCTCATCCCCAGTTTGCCAGGTGTGCCGTACGAAGACCGATGGAAACGACCAGGGCTGTACACCCTGTCGGATTGTTGGTTTATAGTTGGCCTCATTATCACTCATCGGGTATTGTATCTGAATCACTTCCCCATGCTGAGGCCACTACTTTTCCTTGCGTACCAAACAGCACTCGCGGGCACTGCTACAAGCTAGTATTGCTGGACTCGAAGTGGATAGCTCACCCACTGCTTTGAAGGACTAGTAAATACTAGTCTGATACAGTGCACGTAATCGAGTGCAGATATCAGAAGGAAACTGAATTTTGTTACAGCGGACTATATTCGAGGGGCTACAAAAAGACGTGGACGGATGAAGCGTGACAGCAGCGAACGTTAGCGTGTTAAGTTACAGAGCAAACAAGTGTCGGTCCGGATGTAAAGCAGCTTAAAACAGGAAAGATTAATTGGTCAATTGGTCAGCAATGAAATTGTACATAAAATGGTAGTTATCTTTTGGGGCTGAACAAAAGATGCCTTCATTGTTGAACATAATTGGTGGATAAAGGATCGTCGGGGAAAATCGTGCCGATTAAAAGTGAGTGAGTGTTCATGTCAAATGTGGGTTCGCCGGTAATCGTAGTATGCTATACTATTTATTATTGATTGCAAGGCAGGGTGCATTACAGTGAGCCGTTGGACCGGCTTTGTCGGTCTTCAAAAAGACTGGCTAGACCAGGGAAAATATCGACGTGACCTCAATCTCCGCTGCTGCTAAATGGTGCGCTTGGGTGTGGCTTTTCCCTCGCCGCTCCCCACCCCGCGCCATAACGACCATCGTCCCACGATGAAACGTTCAGCGTTTACATCTGAATCTTCGCTAACTGCGGCGTTCTTGGAAAACGTGGTTCGTGAGGGCCAGTCGATCGAAAGGGAGGGTTGGGGCATGTAGAGACGAAAAAAAGAAAAACGCGCGCAGAACATACCAAAAACGACGGGTGCATGGCTTGCGTGCAAAACGTTTAGATATTTTGATGTTTGGAATTTTTAAGGATTTTTCCGAAGTTTCTGCTCTTTTTGTTTTCAAAATGTTAATGGACCAGAACGGGGCAAATATATACACAGACCTAACCGTATTTACACTGTACAAAATCGGCGAAACGAACTGGCTTATGAATCTCCCGATCACCGCTGTTGGTAATGGTTGTTGACAGGTTAGGTTCGGATGCTGATCTCGGGACAGTTGGTACTTCTCTATCGGGATCGGGATCTGAATCGACGATGCTAGGGTGCTGACTATTGGTGCGGTTATTTGTAACGTCGCTCGAAGCATTGCTAGACGATGGAGGCGAAGTCTGGTTTTAGGCGATCAATGGTAACAATTTCACGTCGACCACTGCGGTCGATTGTAAATGTCTTATTTGTCTGGTTGATAACTTTGAAGAGTCCGATGTACGGCGACTGCAGAGGCTGTCGAACACCATCTACGCGAAGTAGTACGTATGAGCAAGTAGATAGCTTTTCGGGCACGTAGACCGGTGTCTTCTGCAACCCTGAAGCGAGCGGGCGCAGCTCACGCATCTGGTGAGCCAACCGATCAGCGTAACTTCAGTAGTCGAAGGAGGAAGTGGACGGTGCTGATGCTGCCAGCTGTCCGGACAAACGCAGCGTGCAGCCGTAGACTAGCTGCGCTGGTATAATGTTGAAATCGGTTTTTACAGTGTTCTTTAAGCCCAAGCAGACGAGAAGAAGGGTTTTGCACCATGAAGAGTCTGCGTTCGTTCGGAGCGATGCTTTCAGTTGGCGATGAAATCGCTCTACCGTACAGTTAGCGGTCGGATGATACGCCGTCATCTGGAAATGGCGACAGCCTGCATCCTTAAGCAACGTAGATAGATTGGACGAGAAATGTGATTCTCCATTGGTGGTCGCGATGGCAGGCAGCCGTATTGAGCTACCTGACGATCCATAAAATCTTTCGCTACCGTTTTCGAATAGTATTTTAGTATTGGAATAGCTTCTGGCTACCTGGTGAATCGATCGATGCAAGTTAGTAGGTGTATTGAGCCTTTCAAAGGCAGCAGAGGATTTACGAGGTCGACGTGCACGTGGTGAAAAGATGCGTCTAGCGTTGGAAACATGCCTAATGGGCTTTTCCTGTGTTTTGGTACCTTCGCGCTTTGACACGGAAGGCAAGCAGTTGCCCAAGTGCGAACGTTTCGATTGACATTGCGCCAAAGGAATCGTGTGGTTACTAGTTTAATTGATGAACGAACGCTTGGGTAAGACAAACCGTGCAGGGTGTCAAATAGGGTCTGTCGAAACTCGCGTGGGACGACTGCGCGCGGCATGCCTGGAGAGAACTCGCAAAGCATAGTTCCATGCGATGATGTCAGCGGAACAGGAAAAATGTCCAGTGAGGGGGACCTGCGTAATAGACCAACCTCAGGATCATTGAGTTGTGCTGCGGCCATGATTGCTAGGTCGATAGCGGTACCGGCGTCAGCGGAGATCGCTTACGTTCGAGAAGGTGCACCGGCGACGGTGTTGTGCTAACTTGAGACCTGTCATATCTCGGTCGTAAACAGAGATAGTCTAGGTGGCGTGACTGTGGGAGACTATCGGTCGGTAGTCAAGCCGAACACATAGGTCAGAGGTTTGTGGTCGATGAAGACGGTGAAAGTGCAGCCTTCTATGATATGTCGAAAATGACGTATGACTATGTAGACGGCTAATACTTCTCTACCGAAATAGTGTATCGAGATTCGGCAGGTTGCAGGCATTTGGAGAAGGACGCCAGCGGTCGCCAAGCTTCACTTACCTGTTGTTGTAAAACGGTGCCAACTGGCACGTCAGATACTTCCGTACTGAGTGGCAGTGGAGCAATATTGCTGTACAGTAGCTGAGGTGCTTCCCACCTCTAGCTAACGTGCATAGTGATGAATGATCATGGTGACAGTGGAGCTGTCGGGTCGTGATGCGCAGTGGAAGGTATGTTGGCGATAGCTTTTTTTAAATCCTGGAGTGCGGCGCCTGATGCAACAAGCAAATTGAATTTCTTAGGTTTCTCTCCGGGCGAGTCCGCTTGGCACTGCATTTGTTTGTAAGCGCGTACCAAGTCGATTTTGCTAATCTACCAGACTGACGGTGACATCCACGATATGTGGGATCGGATAGCGATCGGGCGTGGTAACCGTATTTAAGGCACGATAGTCGTCACAAGGAGGTCAGTTTCTCATGGTCTTCTTCAGAGCCATGTGAAGAGGTGATGCCCATGGACTGTTATATGGTCGAATGATACCGAGCTGAAGCATGTGGTCTAATTCAACTATTGCTTTACATAACTTGTCTGAGGCGAATCGTCTTGGTCGCAAACTCATCGGCGGGCCGCGCGTGACTATGTGATGGGCGACCTCTGTCGTGACAGGCGGAAGTTCTGCAACTGGTCGTACCAGTCGCGATATTCAAACAGTGGGTTCGCATAACCTGCAGGTATGTCGGCGATTCGGAAAACGGGACTGATAATCTGGACATCTGAAAGAACGTCTTCAACCCCTAGCTTAGTATGGTCGTTCTAAAAGCCTGTGTCGGCCAGCATCAACAAGCAGTCCACAATGGCACAGGAAACCGATACCGATAATTTCGAAGGGTACGGACGCGACTGTGAAAACCCAGCGAAAATCGCGGCCGAGATTTAAGTTTAGGCTCATCACGCGTTGACCGTATGAACATATCAGAGCATCGTCGGCGGCACGCAACTTATACGTGGGTTTTGAATGTTTGTCGTTCGCGTTCCCGGGGATGACGCTCACTATCGCTCCTGTGTCAATGAGGAATGGGATGCAAGTGCGTCTATCCTTTACATGAAACAGGCGACCTGTTTTGTTATTGATGGGCGCGTTAATTGTGCTAGCATACGGGCTATTTGGTTTTCCTGAAGTGGTTGAATCGTGCTTAATGCATGGAGCTCTGCAATGTCTAGTTTTTTCGCCATATCGACGGTGATACCAACACAATTCGTCGATGGATTCGGGATTGAGAAGGTCTCGAGGAAATGTTGCGATTTTGTGTCGAACGAGAAGTCCTCGGCGCAGGTACAGACGTGCCGCAATGAACTGTACCCAAAACGTGATCAGCGTCTGACTTTGGCATACGCTGCTTCGAAACCTTCATTGCTGCTATCCTGCTGTGTAGTAGCCCAATTTCCTCATCTTTGGGGTCAGTTCAACTTGATGGCTTGGGACAAGTTATACTCGTTTTTCATCGCTGAGAATATGTCACTAAAGCTTCTGGTCGTCTGCTGCGGAAGACGTTCGAATGCAGCGTCCGCTATGGTGGCTTGTTCTTTCAGGGACTTATATGGAAACATGGACAACAGTGTCGGCAATGGCTCTGAAAGGCTTGCAGGCCACCATTTCTTTATCCTCTTTTAGCTCAAGAATAAGAGATCAACATCGCGCTGAATTTCGCGGGGCAGTGTCAACGGCTTGCGGTTACCCAACTTGAAGCCATTGAGCTGCAGCACTCAAGCCCGAGCGCTGGGCTGTAACTCCTTTAAAATCGATTACTTCATCGCTTTGTATTTTGCTCCCTTAGGCGACAAAGTAGGATATCTTGAACCAGCGTCATCATCAATAAAGGAAAGCGTGGGACGAGCTGATTGTACGTCGAACGATCTGAATGCCCTTATTTTCTAGACCGATCTTGAAATAGCAAACCAATATCTGGGCTGTGTTCCAATGAATCCGGAACAGTCAAAGTTAGCATGCCTACGCTGTGAAACGACTAAGATGCTACGTGTGAGTTGTGCATATCAAAGCTCAAAAATAAACAAAATAACGACGAAACTATTAAAGATAGACAAGAAACAAATAAACCCACTTGTAAAATCGTAAGAGTAACGAACTCACCAAACGATGAAAAAATTTAACTGCTCGTGCGAATCGGGGTTACCAATTTGTAGGACAAGTAAATACTAGTCTGAGACAGTGCACGTAATCGAGCGCAGATATCAGAAGGAAATTGAAGTCGGACACAGTGGACTATATTTGCGGGGATACAAAAAGACATGGACGGATGAAGCGAGATCGGATTGAACGTTAACGTGATAACCTACAGTCCAGATGAGTGTCGAGCCGGATGTAGGCCAACATGGTCGTAGTGCAAAGGAAATTAAGAAAAATCAATGTACCATTGGTCAACAATGAAACTGTACC